AATAATTATTTTAACATGAATACATTAATGGCTGAATCTTTATTATAAAAGCATATCTAATTAGTTTTAATGGACATAGTGAGTTAAGTCTACTTTCAAATTAATCATAGATTTTGGAGATTTGAATATTGATGAACTATTTTTTATAATATAACCAACGACTCGGCCCGCGTGGATGTCGATTTTACTACTTTCTCTAATATACTAGGTTTTTTTTATATATTCTAGTGGACCCTCCCCAAAATGGTTTTTTGGGAGATTATATTTGAGGAATCATCTGCCGGGATGATTGATAAATCTTAACCATTCAGGACGCCACCCTAACGCATACAGAAAAATTCATTTAAATCGGTCAAGCGTTTAGGAGGAGTTTAATTACAAACACACGTACAGCAGAATTATATATAAGATAGATATTTTGGTTATTTGGAGAGCTTAGTGATAATTCAATAATCACTTACTTCAAAGGATTTGTGTTCAGTCGTGTTTAACCATTAAAGACAAGCACATCTGCCTTTTTTCTCAAAGTACGAATATGGATTAGCGTTTGATCTTCGTAGTACTTACAGTATTATTAATGTGTCAAAATGGAGAAATTGAACGTAGGTAAATGTCAAGCGGCAATGGCAAACACGAAGGAGATCGTATAAAACATATTTAACAAGGAAAAAGGAAATTCATAAAAGTTACCGCTAAGCTTATGACGTCATTTGTCAGGTTAGAAGAGGAAAATTGATGAATTACTGTAGCCATGTAGTTAACAGTAAGAGGTTTTGCCAAGTTTTGATTTTGTTTCAAAACCGAATTTTTGTTTTACTTAGAATTTTGTAGAACTCTTGTTTTTAACCTACGTTTGTTTATTTTTAGAAACATATAACAGATTAAGCATTACATAATATCATCATATTTAGAATACATCTGTACTAATATTATAAAGAGGTAAAATTTGTAAGTTTATATGTAAGGGGTAATCTCTATAACTGCTGGTCGGATTGCCAAAATTATTTCCCTAATAGATAGCTACAATATTCCTGAGTGTTATAGGCTATAAAACATCACGCTACGATCAAATAGAGCTGAGCAGCGTGTGAAACCGCACGAGAGTAGCTAGTAATATATAAACATGTACACTTATTTTATGATTATTATTTGTTTTTTATTATAAAAAGAAAGACATGATAGGCAATTCACAGTCACCTTTTTCTTTCCACAGTTTTCTTTCAGTCACCATAACATGAACTTAGCAATAATTATTTTAAAACATTCATCTAAAAGGATCATAAATACGTCCCTAAATTGACACTATCATGAGTTAGCAACAAATCTATAACAAACTAATTCAAACATTATTTCATAATAAATATGCCCACGTCTTCAAGATGAAGTACGCAAAGACGACAGAATGACAATGATAGGCGCCATTGTTCTTACTCAGTGACAGTTGTGTGCGAGTCATAACACAGGGTGTTTAATCAAGGAAGAGTTTCATGATTGACTTGCTCTTATCACTGGCAACGAAGCCATATTGAATTTATTTGTTAATGAAATTCATTTAAGTTTTCTTTTGGTTTTTGTTTAGTGTTCTTATTCTATGCTCAATATTGAGTATTTGGAATGAGTACTCACTCGATCGATATTATGTTAGGTTATGCTAAACATCCTATCTCATTCAATATCGAATTTAGAAGGCATATTAACAGAACAGTGAAACGTCATACATGAAACTTATAGTCCAATTTCCAGTAACTAGTAGTAGTAGTAGTAGTATATTTAATATACTACTACTATATGTTTATTTTTGTTTACACTATATACTTTTTATACTATATACTATATTTTTGTTTATCAGAAAATTACATAAAATTTTCTGATAAACAATTTACGATATTTACGAAGCTAATAAAGAAGATGACGGAAGATTGAAAACATAATGTTATTGAGATGCAACAAGGCTCTCAAGCACCGCGGGATGCCCGGGGGATATTCCCATAACTAACAAGCGACGTAGGGGGATGTGTGACCCCATAAGATATTATTATAACACACAATAGTCGGCCTTTTCCTTATAAAATTACAATAGTTATGGCTTAGAGAATGCTGTTTATATATTATATGTTTATATATATCAAAAGCTGGGTGTAAAAGCCATTGTGAGTAAAAATAGAAAATATGAAAAATGTGCTACTCGCAAACAAAGGCTTAGACTAGCTTTAAAGCATTCATGACACATAATTATGGTCTTAAGTTGTGTATAGACCTACACCCGGTTTCCTAAAGGCCGATCAATGTTAAAATCAATTTAATCTCTTGTCAAGTCATCTGATTGGTTGACTGAATTATTAACAACCAATCAGATGACTTGACAAGAGATTTAACAGGAGATTATTTAATTTTAGCGTTGCCAAGACTTTCAGAAACCGGGTGTTAGAAACCTTAGGAATAGGCCAATAGATACTTAAACCTAGTTATATAGAACTAACAAAAGGTAAAGGTAGATGTATTTTGTCTCATTATTGTTCTAGTAAGATAATAAGTAATATTAGGAGCTATAGAGGATTAAATAAATAAATAAAATAAAATATAATGCAAGTACCAAGTTGTGTGACATCTATTAAAACTTCTTATCAACCTACTCTTTTAGAATTTCTTAACAAATGTTTGATATAAGAAGAAGCCAGCGCCTAAATGAAGTAATTAGGAAAATATTTATAAAAATGACAAACTGTTTTTGTGACAAGGATTGTAACTTAATTTGCTTTAATTAGGAACTAGAAAGCTGTAAATTTTTATTTCTTACAATATTTAGATTTTTGGTATGTATTAAAAGTACCTATTATTTCTTTAGTTAGTTCGTATAATGTTCACTACGGATACAGTACAGATGAAGTTTACGTGACGGTGACGTAAGTGACGGTTTTGCTAAAATATCGTCAATGTTTTTAAAATTTCGTAACAGGAAGGAAAATAATCTCAATTATCGCATTCAAGATTTACAATGAATCTGACCGAAACCGTGAGCAAAATATAATATTGTGTACGAACGCTTCCCTAAATATAATTTAAGAATTGTGACTTAAAGGAAAACTAACAAAATTGCTTTTTCATAAAACACCAGCCAGACAGAATTCGGAATTACAGGCACGAGACAAAAATTAATTAAATTGACATTACAAATATTTGCTTCGATCAAATTCAAATTTCTATTACAAACCCCAAGTTCAAGGCGTGTAAGAAATATAATATAATACTGCTTTAATATAACAAAACTATAAAAGTTAAAACACAATTAAAGTACAGCGAACTTTAGTCCTTCGGGACATCTTTATAGAGTTATACGAGGCGTTAGGCGTTGCAGTGGCACGTACTATCCATTTGTTGACATACGAACTCTTTGTACTACAAAACACGTACGGACGTAAATTGGATCAGATTAGGTACAAAGTAATGAAGCTTTGTATTTACTGCAGATGTCTATACAGTTTGCTAGGACATTTCTGTGTAGAAACTAATGCATTTCTGTTCATTTTCAGATTTTATAGACAATTTAATGCATTTGAGTCTTCTAGTTACTTATATTGGTTTTAAATGGAAGGTTGTTAACACCATTAGTGTAGTGTCAAATGAAGGACAACTTTGTTTGGCCTAGGTATTGAACCTATTTACTATGCACATTTTGTTTTATTTGTAAAAAGCAGGCGGATTACTTAATGGTGATTAAACCTTATCATTGTAAGTGATCGGCCGTCCATGGATATCAGCAAAAAAAGCCACAGATGCCTAGTTAAAAATAAGTATTCTAAATTTCTGGATTGAACGAAATGAATAAGAACCCTGTTGTGACTTGAAACTAGTAGAGCCTCCTCAGTTTATTCACGTTAGTAAGTCATCATTGTCAATAAATTTTGTATGCCTCACGATAATTAGTATTCAAAAAAAAAGTAGTAATCTCTTTTTTGAATGTTTCTAAGTAAACGCGTTTTTATTGGGCCAAATTTCAAATACCATAGACAAATATCAATTCGAAACTACTCGAGAAACGAATTTAAGATCTGACATTTTGCAGTCGTCTTAAGCAGATGGGATAAAATTTGAGATACCATACCTCGTGAGGACAAGAAAAGTATTGCAAATGGGCCTTGAGGTAGAAAACAAGCTCATCCTACACGTTCCAATGTTCCCTTTAAGTAACTGGAATATTTTATCTTATGTCGATGTATTTTATGTTGTCGTAAAATCTTTGAAGAACTGTGCAGCTATTTTCGTACAACCTTAAAATATTTTACATGGGCAGGCTTCTTTATTTATAAGATGGCCTCGAAAATACTTTACGTAATATTTTCTAAAATGTTTCTTTGGTTTATTTTGGACAAAAGGTCGGATGACTCTTTGTTTGGTTTTAAGTATTCTTGAATAGATACCTACCTGAATTATATGCTTAAGATGTTATTCTATTTTCAAGTTTTTCCTAGATAATGGAACGTGTTTTGTTTACACAAGTATTTCATCACACTGTATGCCCTAATTCGTATTTTTCTTCGACTATACTCTAGAGGTTGTCTACATACCAAGATCTAACACGTAATTGGACTTTCGTAGTAATAATGTTAGTAGAAATAGGATCGAGGAGTCCTCCAGACGTTCAGACGTTCCAGAGCAAAGCGAAAATGGGTTTATTAGGATTTTACGTTGAAATGAGTTTATGAAGTCATTTGCCTACCTGTAAGGTTTTTCTCGAATTCCGTCGAAGATTTCTTTCGATGTTGAGTAACATTGGGTTTGCGTAACATTTAATGTGTGTAGAGTTTAGTTGATTTTTTTATGTCTCAACATAAATAGTGGAGCATTTTCGGCTTTTAAAAGTACCTAAATGGAATTCTACGTATACTCGTAGCAAATTTCCAAGAATCACCGCTAGTTCGTGATTTTAAAGTAACTAAAAAACAAATGACGAGTTACTGGATTATGAAAACCTGTTACAAAATGTTATGAAGTTTACTATTTCAAAACAATGACACATAAATCTGTGATGGCGTGTAGATTAATTAATTTAATTTTAATTTTAGAATCAGATATTTGTTATTATATATTGTATATTGTTTGTTTTTATTGTAACCACTAATGCCACGTCAGCCTGCAAATATACGTTGCGCTATCGACACACGACCTTGGTTTATTCTATTCTAACCTAACCAGCAACCTATTATCATATTTTCCAATACTATATGAAAAAAAAATGTCAATAGTTTGCTTATGGGTAGATGTGTTTCATCGTAGCACATCAGAACTTATCATTGGGCGAGATCGCGGTCAAAAGTCGGCCAAAATTAGACATAAAACATTAATTTAATCGTCAGCTACAGCTGATTTTTTTCATTAAAATATCGGCTAATGAGCAGACAGATTAAATTATGGTAAGCAATCGGCGCCACCCATGGACCCTCGTAATACCTAAGGAGTTATACTACGACTGCATTGCCGGCCTCTTGTGGGTTGTAGGGATTTATGGAAGATAAAGGATGCCCAACGCCATCTGGGGGCAGGATTGGGCCTCAGGTAACCTCACTAATACGAGGAAACAAAACATTAATATTGCTTCACGCCGTTTTTCTGTGAAGCCATGATATTAGTCTGGTCGAGAGCCCGTCCATTTGTGCCAAAGCATAGCTCGCCCACACTTAACTTACAGTAACAAAAACTTACTACTAACGGTTTAGTAGTTTAGGAGTGAAGAAAAGACAGAGAGACAGAGTTACATTCGCATTTATAATATTAGTTTGGATTGTAAAACCTTCACTCTAATTGGATGCAGTCGCTAGTAGGTATCGATTCCCATTGTTTGTTTATAAAAGTCGACATCAATAGCGACGTAGTGTCTCGTTACCGACAATCAGTCGATCCTTATTCCTTCTTATTGGACAATAATGGAACCGAGGAAATCTTTAAATCTGTTCTGGCGTCGTTTGTAATACAATTTACGGTCAATGTTTTATGTAATAGTGAGGCGAGGCACCGGTGTATTTACCTTACTTTATTTCGCTTTTGCATTGACTAAAACTTCTTTCGTTATAGTGGCACAATGCTATAGCTATGTTGTACCTTTTAATAGGGATGATGCCTAGTATTGTTTTTTGATTACCAGTCTAGTAGACAATACGGTAGTTTCCAATTAGTCAAATTCAATACTTTTATCCAAATGTCAAAAACGATACTTTTCTACGGAATTTGTATGAAACACTGAGTTATGACGGCATAATATGTTTGCGTCAAATGCGTTTCTTATTTTTTAATTATTTCATAAAAAGTATCTAAAACTTAGTGTATCAATCTATCGATGAAAAAATTATGAATAAAAAGTAAAAAGTATTGAACATCAAGTTAATTTATTTTTGACTTAGGAAACTTGAATTCAAAAACATGCCTAATATGTTTTTGTACGTATAATAAAAATATCGTCAGACATACTAAATTTATTGAAAATAGTGACTTATTTGCCTCGACGTTACGCGACGCGTAAGCTACTCGGGAATAAGAGTTCCGCTGTGACTTGAAATTAGTAGAGCTTTGCTCAGTTAATTCACGTGAGTAACACGTTATTTCCAATGAGTTATTTATATATTTTTTTTTATAATAACGTTGGCCCACCCTTGGATTTTCTCCTGTGTCGTAGGTGCGTTTAATAACATACAAATTACAAATGCACATAACACCCAGACCCGGAACAACAATTTGTGGATCACACAAAGAGTTAAAATAATTATGTTTATTGATTTGGAATACTGTGTAACGTCACGAATAAGTAAATTTAAAAAAAATGCTGAAATTGAATTACCTAGGTATGTTATATTATGCCTATTTAAAATAGATAAACGATTTAAGTATCTAACGAAGTATCTAACGTCCGACAACGTGAAACTTGTTAAAACTATTCTACTTCTAAATTTCGAAAAACGAACATTAAAAAAAGTTCTGTACATCGACGCAACAAATTGCAATCGAGACACACAAACAAAAATTCCGTAGAAAAGTGACTGAAAGCATAAAATTTATAGTCTTCGTTGAAATTAATTAAAATTCACACGAACCTTGCATACTGAATTCAATGTTTCAAAGTAACTTTAACCATTTCGATTATACTTTAGTAGTAACATTTATATGAAACGTATTATATTGGATACTATGTATTCCTAGCACGAAATTTTCTGATGATTAATAGTGTACTATCAAAGTACTGAAAATACCTTTTTCAATCTAAAATGACTTAACAAATTTAGCATATAGATAACTTGACATGATTCTCAATTTAAACCTAGGTAGAATGATGAGTAAATATGTACAATCAAAAAAAGGAAACTTACGCGAGTTTTTATTCGAATTAAAAGGTTTGACATATCCACAGATAATCAAAGATTTAACACGTACAGTTAAAGCTGTGAAAATAAAAAATCGACTCACGTTATGGGCGACATCCATAGGTGCTAGCAAAGGCAATTCCTGTCGCCTCGGCTTCCTCCACATGAGAATCACGACGGCAATCAGCAGAACAGTACCAGCTCCGATAATAGCCCCAACAGCTGCACTCCACATGTTCCCATGAACGTCCCATGACGTCACACCAACCCTAGCTTCAGACATGGCCTCTACGACCTTTGTAGTAGATTCTTTCTCCATGTTTGATTTCCAAGTGTAATCTGACGGCGTTTCATAGTCGTACCCGCCCCACTGGTTATCTGTTGATAACAAAATTAGCTCCGTACAATAGTGATACATCGATCCATTGTGTGGATACTATAGATTACATGTTATGTTACTTTGAATAACTATATGAATAGGTTTTGTTAGATTGGCAAAATATTACTATTATTTTTATGCGACTTATTTTCTAAGATGACTGCGGTTCACATTCGAATAATATTTTAAAATGATAGGTAATTGAAAAGTGAAATTATTAATGAATAATGATTCAGCATTATTACCTCTTGTATTAAGAGTTAGGCACATTGAACATTGCACCCTTTTTTATAAGGGAATAAGGCTCTATATACATTACGTTATACGCTACAAGTATGTACTTAATATTATTAAAGAGCACAAACATTGTGGACGTGTCAATTGCCACGCGTCTTCTCTCGTGTTATATTCAGATTTATTTACTCAACGAACGTGAAGGCAAAAAAATTATTAGCACAGAATATGAAACAGCTAATGTCCATTTGCTTAAGTAACACAATTATAAAAGTAATCTGGAATTATTTTGAGTCGTAAATAACTTGTAGAGTTTCTAATGTTATTATAAAATTGTCTTTTAACGTTATTCGAAGTTGAAAACTCATATACATTTCAAATCTCCAACATTAACTGCGAAAAAGTAAAAAAATGTTTCCTAAAAGCAAAACACGTTTGACATATTCAAAGCGAAATGATCCCATTACATTATGAAGATAGCGAACTAATAACACGCGTCACTCGTAAATCCGTTCACACACAACACCATAAAATATCTTTACCACGACCAAAAACATACACTTTTAATAAACAAAATTGTTATTTACACAAACTTTTAACAACAACAACATCACAGGATAAAAAGTACCTAATCAAATACTTTTCGAAATAAAAGAAATATTTGAAAATAAAAAAAACAAAAGAGAACTTTCATTAAATTTGAATTTAGAATGCCACAATATTGATATAAAATTTTTATACCTATATTTTCTTTTTTTTAAGTAAAGAGGTGACTCACCCATAAGGTTGAGTTGGACAATTTGTTGTTATCTGTTGCAACTTTAGACACGTGCGTTGGGCGGGCGGGCGCGCGCGACTGGTTGGCGGCGGCTCTCTTCTTATCATTAAACCGACTTGTTTACCCCGACGGCATGCCGTGATCTGTGTCGCGATGTTGACTTTATTGCGTCGAAGTAATAGTACGATGTTCACTGTTCATACATTTTCATAAAGACGAGATACTCGTAAACATAATAATATCAAGAAAACAGAATTAAAAAAAAACGATCGAACGCTTTTCAAACAAATATTGTTTCATACATGATTACGTTTGTTTTTATGTACAGATATACAGCACATCAAGCCTCTCTGTTATATGTAGTCGATTATCACTTTTATTACAAGAGTCATAAAGATGAAAATTGTTTTTTTTCGTATTATTTTTATAAAAACTACTAATAACTGAAAAGCTACATGCGTAGATACATTTTCGTTCGTCACACGTATGTACTTATAAAGCAGGTTGTAGTAAACGAAGTTACCGTTTTGTTCGTAAAGTAAGTTGTCAGAACTTATCATGATGTAATAAGCTAGTAAAAGTATTTAGGACACGTTTTACGTTTGATATGATTTCGACGCCATGGTGTTTTCATAGGCAATCTCGTTTGTTTATGGCTGGGGCGTTGTTTGACATCGTTTTTATAAATATGACAGATTTAAGACTATAGCATTGCCATTTTAGTATTTTGTTGAACCGAAACATTCTAACTTAGGCGTAAAGGTATAAATAGGTTAAAAACTAATAACTTATGAAAAATATGTAGGGAAAAGTGGTGTCAGGTGTGCTCTATCTAGATGGAGGTTTCTTTGATGGAAAAAGCAACCTATGGTCAGCAGTAGACCGGGTTGACAAATAGTTAGATTATGATGGTTTTAGTAAAAAATAATTTTCATACTGGAATTCAGTGCGTGTGTTATTATTAATTAGTAATAGAGCGACGTTAGTATAGTTAGGAATATAAACATCAACTTTAAACATTTTGTTACTCGATTGGGATGTGCGATTATATCATAACACGCGGCTCGGTGCAGGCCGTCGATTAGCAAATAAGCAAATTAACATCCAGGGTTTTATTCCTAGAAAAAATATGCGTTTCAGTTGATAAACCAGTTTTCTCACCAAAATTTAGTATCTTTCGGAGATTGTTCGCCAAATATCACGACTTTGGGAGCGCAACACCTACTAAAATCTTAGTATAGTTAGTAACTGATGCTTAAAACATTTGTACGCCCTGGGTCAAATAATAGACCACTACAATTGTACCAGAGCATGTCTCTCCCATACTTAAAGAAGTACGACTCGAAGTGTCGTTGTCTATAATAATAGTACATTTTTTGTCAGGGAAAAATTACTTCTCCCGCCCAGGGAAAGAGTCAGACTCATACTGACTAAAAACCCCCCGTTCCGATGCCGCTATGACTCATTGAGCTTAACCCGCAACTCCCGCTGAACATCAGCCCTATAGGCCCCTCCCGAGCGTACGGCGCGTAGCGTTCTGCGCGCGCCTCAAAGAGCCATTCGACCACCATAGACGGGGCCCTAAAGGGCTGATGTTCAGCCGGGGTTGCGGGGTAAGCGCAATGAGGCACCGCGACCTCGGCACAGAGCAGGAGAAGGTACAGGGGGCTTTTAGTCAGTAAGAGTCTGACACTCCCTCCTGCCCGGCCCTGGGCGGGAGAAGTCATTTGATGATTTTCCCCTCACAAAAAAAAAGCCCTATAGGCCCCCGTCCGTGGTGGTCTATTGGCGCGTACGGCGAGTAGCGTTCCGCGTTCGTCTAAACGTTCGGGATATTAATAGTACCTAGGCATTCCTATTTGTTGACTTATAGTATTAATTATCCACGGTCTAATAGGATTTTAATAATAAATCCTGCAGTTCTACACTTAACAGCTACCTAGGTGAACCATTAAACTAACATTGTTATGTTATGAGCTTTATAAACTTAGCCCTTATTTACTATATATCTCTGGTTAAACGAGATTAAATATATATATATATATATATATAATACATATATATGTATGACAAACGAAGTGGGTGTTCAGTTATTAGTATTATATGATTAAGAAACTTTGAACTACCTACATATGTTTCAAAGGACTTTTTTGTATGATAGGACGGCAAATGAGCATACCGATTACCTGGTGGTAAGCAATCAGCACCGCCCATGGATACCCGCAACAACAGAGGAGTTACGACTGTGTCGTCGACCTTTTGGGGATTAGGGATTTGTAGATTTTAGGATTGGGGGAGGGGAAGGATTACGCCTCCGGTAAACCCACTCACACGCCAACCCCAACACAACGCTGTGGTTGTTTCACGCCGGTCGGGCCGATCCATTCATGACTACGTATTGTTCTCCCACACTTAAAATTGACTTGCTAGGCAATTGTTTGCGTAACTCGACCACGTCCAAACAAATGCAAGTCTCTTGAAGTATTCTAGTAAACGTATCCATTAGTTGAAATGGGCATCGCCTCGGCTCCATTGCACTTTATTATATTTGAAGATAAGTATGTACAATCGACAAATTTGAACCATGACCCATATTTGACAGTAAATTATTAGTACTGTCAAAATGAAAACGACCCAGTTTGTTAGTATCAAAATGTATGTCTACGCAAATGTCGTGCTAAATGTTTTTAAGTATCTGTTGGATAAAGCTGATCAATAGGTTGAGTTACTGTTGGAATTCGTTGATTGTACTCAGTACCTACTCAACGGGAAGATGGAGGGCGAAATGGATTATTACTCGGGTAAGTAGTTGCTTGCTGCTTTTAGAAATAAAACTTAATCTTTGAGAGGCAATTGCTGTGTAATGTAGGTGTAAGTATATTGAATCTTGTACAGTTTACTTCTGGGCTTTTCTTTTTACCTTTTGACCGCCATGGTCGGTTGTAGACGACAAACCAAATATAGATTCTTAATCACGACTTTTTGGCCGACATTTTCCAAATAGCCTACTTTTCATTTGTCGTCTACAGCCGACCGTGGCTTTCAAAGAGTAAAATAACTTATTCTGAATGAAGTTGGCTACGATTGGCATTCGTTTGTATACTGATATTAAAGTACACGTCGATCTCAGTTAAATCTGTAGCAGAATATTAATAGGCAGTAAGTAGTAGACTATTCCAGCAAGCGAAGAATGCAGCTTTGAAATAGTAAGTGAAACTGCGCGACAGAAGCTAGTAGTGAAATAAACCTTTTAAGTTAATAAGTACCTAATATTTATCGCCTCCTTCATATAAAATAAGAATGTTCGTTCCAAGTAAAAGCTGTCAAACCTACACACGGAATTAATAAAAAAATACTTTAAAATCGACTTAAAATTTAGGATGTTCTCAATTTAAGTGTTTTTAGGTACCCGCTCACATATTGCACGATGCAACCGAATGTCTTTAATATTGTACACCATCTACGCCTTTAATTTATTTTACTTTATAATTATCGTGAGTTCACGTTAAAACATCAAGTCGGGCGTTCTCATTACGACCAGCAAAGATCACGTGTCACTCACTCACACACATTTTACATAAAATATAAAATATTAACATTACCATCTATTTATATCTTAGAAATATGTAAATTTGTAAGAAAAAATACAAACTTTTTCACAACCCGTGGAAATAAACATAGAGATCGGCCAGTAAGACACAAAAACATGCTAATGCACCCCTCTTCACACATGAAACTTCACAGCAATAGCCCTTATGTAATGTCCATTAAATTATTTAACAAATTACCAGATTCTTTAAAAAATGAAACTAGCGAAACTAAGTTCATAAGCGCACTCAAGAATATCCTCATCAACAAAGCCTACTACTCAATTGATGAATATATAAATGATAACAACATTGTCCATATACAACATAACGCATAACAACAAGCACATTACCATGATACATTTATTGAATTTTCATATATATTAATTTTAATTGTTTTAATATATATTTTAATTGTTTTAATTTTAGATGTAAGTTTTATTTTGCTGTGCCCTACAGGGTCCACGATTGTACTTAGCTCTAAGCCATTCTGTAACACCTCTTATACATTGTGGAATGCAAATAAATATGAATATGAATATGAATATGAACATGTTAGTTCGTCAACTGAAATACTGTTAATTTTTGAAATGATTACATACTTTAAATATATTGTCATTATCAGCCTGATTTCACATCTACTGCTGGATATAGGCCTCCCCAATATGTTTGTAAACACACTCACGAGATAGGAAAAAAAACGTTCTACCCTGACTTATTTTAAGAACAAAAGGTACTATCACAGTATCTATCTCATCACCCACTTACAACCACACACATACAAATTCAATAAGACTCACTGACGTTGATGGCGATTGTACTATACAGGCTGAACAGTAGCGTGATAAATAAACACATCATTATGTAAGCTTGCCCGCCTTCGTTGAATAGAGGGGAGTGCTCATTCACCACATGAAAGTAATGGTAACGTAATTCCTCTTACTTCATTGCTGAGTGGAAGGCAGTGAGTTAACATTAGGTACTATTAGTGTCATTTGTTGTTCTGTCGAGGAAAGGATTTTAGAAAAGAAATGTTGTGGTTAAGTGTATCGGTACCTATTTTAGGTCTTTCTTTTAAAAGAAGAGTAAATTAAAAGGCTTTAATGCAAAAGGGAAACTTATAAGACTCAACATTTTTATAATGAGTGAAATATAATGTTACATCGTAGGTACGGTAAATAATATATTTGTTGTGGTAAGTACATATTCATAGTGCATTTATTTCAAATTATTGTGTTATTATTTATATTCTTTATTGTTATATTTAGAACATTTTGTTCCTATGTTTATTAATAAATTGCGTGATGCTTGTTTAGAACCAATTAATTGACACTTTTATTTCTCCACCCTTACAGTTGGCTGGTAGAGAATGCCTTACAGCGTTAAGTACGCCTTTGCATGTAGCGCATAAATTGTTAAAAAAAACCAACAAAATAATAATATACCTATAACTAAAATTTAATAGTAACGCTTCT